TTTTGGAGAGATTTTCACTGTAGGGCACGTGCGCTCGCCAGACGGACAGAGAGAGACATAGAGACAGAAAGTGAGAAATCACCCCCCAGGGGGGATGGTCACGCCGCAATCCCTTCTCCTCCATTCTCCTCTCGGGATCTTGGGCACGCACGCACACGCGCCCGGCGTGAGTTTCAAGCCACCGGGTCCAGGACACGAACCGCGGTTGACTACGTGGGAGTCCAGCGACATAGCCATTACGCTAACTGCTGGTTCCCTGCATATGCTATTTTAAGAGAAAATGTTATCCCTTTATATGAGAAGGTTACAAAATAAAAATTATTTCTACCAAAATCACTGTTTTGCTCAACTTATTGAAAGTGACTTTCAGTTTGTATTTTTCATTAATCTTTTCCAAAGAGAAACGCAACTGTGGTATTGATGTTGGATGACTTCTAACTGTTCTTTCCAAATTCCCCACGTGTAAAAAATCTGAGTGGGTTTTAAATGAACAAATATCAGCCAAAGCTGTAATATTGGACCTGAACACGCAAAGGAATGTATATACCGTGAGAGCACGTCTCTGTGGGGATGTGTGATATTCTAATGAAGCAGTTTACAAGAACAAATGCGAAGCTTTGTCAGAGGAATTCTGGTAGAAGGCTCAGGGCAGGGATGGCAGGGATGCCACCGAGGACTGGAGCAGACAGTGATCATCACTACTGGAACAATTCTGAGGGGATGACACAGCAATGGGAAAGGCCAAGAGGGTAGAGCCCTTTATTAAAAAGGATTCTTCTTCTTGTAATTATTGAGCGGCAGGCTTGTTTCTGCTCTTGTTGCTAAGGACAATACCCTGCCAGATAGGAAATGATGTTGACGAAGGCATAAAATAACACTTTCACACATTTTTAACTTAAAATTCTAGAGAATTGGGAATAGTGTGTGTTAGGAGAGGGCTGGAAGTTGGGAAGAACAAAAACAAACAAGGGAATACATACGGGTGAAAAATACAATATGCAATAATTAATTCACACTCTGAAATTCCAGATGGCTCACTTTCAAACCACTATTATTTCACTGTTCTGGGTCCTTCCTTCAAATTTTTTTTGGGGGGCAGTTATACTCCTCTGAATTATCTCTGCCAAGGCTTATTAAAAGGAAAAAAAAGTAACTATAAAAAGTATAATAAACAAAAGTGTGTAAGTTACATTTACCGTTCCAGCAAGGTGGTAGAGAAGAAGACACGGTTTTACACAAGCGGATGGGCCATCAGCGACTGCAGTATGTTCCCGTCCTCTGCGGTTATCACCGAGTAGCATCACAGGGCAAGTCTGTGTACAGAGAGCTGCTCTTGTCCCTCCCTCCACAAGGCACTTACTTGCAGCCTGACTTTCAGACATACACCCTCACCTCACCCCATTCTTATTTTGTATCTCGGTGATAAACTTGTCACTTCCACACTGCTGCCTAGCACTTAAAACCAGGACCGGTCAGGCCAGCTGGTGGGCTGGTGGTTAAGCAGCTGGATCCCACATAGCCCACTACGTGGTTTGAGTCTCGGACCCGATGGCTTGAGAAACATGCTGGGCACGTGCCATGTGTGCTCAAAGTCCCAAGAGGAGAGGAGAGAAGAGGGGATTGTGGCAAAAAACAAATAAAAACCAAACAAACAAAAAAAACAAAAAACTAAACCAAAACAAAAAAAATGCAAACAAAAAGGACTTGTGTGTTACCATTCACAGATAAAGCCATTGTCAAATTACACTATACCATTTCCCTAGAAAGCTGAGGAGGCAACTCAAGCTCTTTTAATGCCCCAGTTATCAGAAACAGTGAGGTACTCTCCCAACTTCTAAGAATGTGAAATATGACTGCTTCTATTTTATCTTAAACCAAGAAAATCAATACAGAATAGTTGAAAACAGTCTTTCTAGCCTAAGAGAACTATAGACCTATTTGAAACATTATCAATGATATTAAAACAGTCAAAGCATCAACGAACAGCTGGCCTGAATCTAAAAACCTAACGCAATGGGTTTCAATGGAAGCAGGAAAGGAAGTGTCAGTCAGTAATACCCCCAGCAAGGGAAGACACTGATCCAGCTCAGAGAACAAGGGTCTGTGAAGAGACAGAGCCTTCATTTTCAAGGCAACACCTTCATCTTCCTAACAGGAATGTGACCTCTCAGATGTGACACCCAGAATGGGGACAGGGGAGGTAGGAACAGCAGGATCTGGGAAGGCACACCCATCATAAACTGGTATTGACAAAGCATCTACCGTTATACTCTAGGTACTAATACTCAGGGAGCAGTCACAACTGTACGTACTGTCATTATTCTCACTTCACAGATGAGCAAGGAGGGCACACAGAGGCTAAACTGCTGCTTGGTTTTAAATAGGCATTTATGCTGCAGAGCCTGCAACCAAACCTAGGCAATCTGCCTTCAAAGCCAATGCTACTAAGCTCCAAAGATCTAGCATCTCTGAGTCAACTAGAGATGTGGGTTTTAGGACCCACAAGCTGGAGCCCGGTCATTATACTGCTCTATGCAACCCCGAGTTAGTTACCATCCTTCCTCCATCCAGACCTTCCACCTAGCTGATGTGCATCTTATTAAACTTCCACAGGTAAATGAAGGATTTGTAAATAGTCTAAACAGGAGCTCACATATTTTAAAAAAGCAACAAATTATGTTTGGAGGGCACTTAATGTTCCTAGTTGATGCAAGGCAGAAACAGTTTCTAATTTTTTACTTAAATCAACATGTCCCGAGGAAGAATCATCTCAAGAGAGTAACACCAGGCATCTGAAGTGTAAGAACGGCTGATATACTTAGCGCTCACTGTGAGACAGTGGACCAACCCCAGATGAGAAAGCATGCTGGGGGACAGCAGCTTTTTACCTGGCTCAGTCCCCAGTACCCAAGCGGGTATCAGTGAATGGCTCCCACTAACGAGGAGCCACCAGCTGGTTACCCTGTGACCTTAGCCTACTCCTACTGCAGAAGTCCTTAAAGGACAGGACACCAGTCAGAAGCTGGAGTACGTCCAATTTGCTAACAATGCCATATTTTCTGTTATCCCCTAAGAGGTTCCTCATCCTAGCAATAAATACAACAGAATTATTAGTTATTCTGTGAAAATATGAACTGAATGGGGGCTAACTTGATACCTTGATTAACGCTTTTATACAACCTGAAAAACTCAATTTCAATTGCTCTTTAGCATTTTTGTTTGCTTTGGCCCCTATCTGGTTTTGTTTTTGTTTTAAGTTTTCCCCATGAGCAGGAGACAGACAACACCTCAGCCTTGGATCGTGGGCACAAGCGTACCCAGGGTATTTGGGAAGTCTCTGGATGTGACTTGAAACCCTCCACATGGATCGGCCTTGCAGCCACTGTCTGTCCCCACCACGGATTTTATGAGCTAAAAATCTGGAGGAACCAAGCAGGGAAGCAGAGTCAGCTGGCAAAACTGACAAGACTCGATACAATGCTTGAGAGACAGAAAAGGTGAGTGCAGTTCTTACAAGGTGCTCCTTTGTGGTTCAACAGCGTAAGTTTCTACCACAAATCAGCTACTGATGCCACATTGCGGGCATTAACAACAAAAAAAGTTTTCATTATTTCTAGGTTCTATGAATGTTGTAATAACAATTTACACTTCGCTATCAAGACTTCAGACAATGTGATCTCGGCTACAGTAACTCAGTATTTAGGTAGGAAAAATGACTACAAGGGATGATGTCGGTTAAGGAGCTAAAATATTCTTTAAATTATATTACGGAAATTTAATCTAATTAAGAAAAATTAGAAGACTATCACCAAAAATCTTATTTATTCCCACAAGAATAACACATCTTGAGAATAAAATAATTTTAGAAACTGAGGGAACCAGCAGTTAGCGTAATGGCTATGTCGCTGGACTCCCACGTAGTCGACTGCAGTTCACGTCCCGGACCTGGTGGCTTAAACTCACGCCAGGCGTGTGTGCGTGCGTGTCCAAGATCCCGAGAGGAGAATGGAGGAGAAGGGATTGCGGCGTGACCATCCCCCCTGGGGGGTGATTTCTCGCTTTCTGTCTCTATGTCTCTCTCTGTCTGTCTAGCGCACACACACTATAGCGAAAACCTCTCCAAAAAAAAAAGAAATTCATTTTGCGTGTGGTCAGCAACAGATGTTAATAACAGTCAGATTGTGTTTGGTTTTTCAGAATGAAGACAGCACATCTATGGAACAAAATCAGGGCCTACCACACTGCCCCAGGGATTTAGAGAATGAAATTTAACTAAACCTTTTATAATATGCAGGAATATTTGATCATTTTTGTTTGTTTTGCTTTAACTGGATCATCTAGAAAGTCATAATGCATTTTTGCATACAAAAACACAGAAAAATATGGCATGACTTTCCTGACAACCTAAGTTTCCTGTCTGCTCTTACTGGAGGAGTTAGCTCCAGTGCTAGAATGTAGAATGTGTGTGTGTGCTTCAAGCTATATTTACGTTCCTGCCTCTATACACACTTTCTTTTTCAGTAGACACGATCATCAGTTGTCATCTCAGGGTTGATTTTCTTTTCACTCATAATTACTACCTTAGTTTTCACTGTTCCTGCGATATTTGTAGAATGAATGAAAACAGCTGTTTGACACCTTAATATACGTACGATTTATCTTAAATTTGGGCTATGATTTCTTCTAATGTATCTGCAGTACGATAATACATGAAAAGGCAAAATATATCTATCTTAAATGCTCTTCTAATGATGATAAGCTATAAGTAATCTTTTATTAGTACCCAAAGATCTTTGTAAAGCAGCTGGAATAAAAAAATGGACTGCTATTTTTATAATCAATTTATTGGAAATAACACTATCAATACTTTACAATGTATTCTTTAGAGCTAGTCAAAGACTATTACTGATTATTTTGCTAAACAGAAAGAAAAGGTTCACTGTCAGTTGGAAATTTCAGTTTTTAGAAAAGTCACCGTATTATCGGTGAGGGTTACTTTGGCAACAAAGCAAAAATGTTCAAATGCCATTTCTCTAGTTTTTATATTTGGCTCTCAGAATCAACAATTGGTCATTTTCAATTTTATTACAATATGACTAGGTAATAATTCTGACAAGCAGTCTAACCTGTCATTTTTGAACTGGAGAGGACACTTGTAACATAGGTACACAGTATACTAAGGCCCCGAGGGCTGAAATATCAAGCATAAGCTCACAAATGAGAAACTAAACATTGATCTAGTTCAAATTACCTAAATGCATAAAGGAAAAACAACCTGTTGGCTGATACGTCACGCTGAAAAGGAAATTATCACAAAACAGGCAACTTCCTCCATAATAAATAATCAACATGTTTTACATTTTATCAAAACGTAGTGATTCTTAATGAACTGGAAACAGCATTTACCAGGTGAAAGACTAGTCAAGTCTAGAAAAGAAGTAACACAAAATGAGCCAGTCACACTGCAGGTTCAAGTGACAAGTACATTCCTTTTTATTATCAATGTTTTCTCTGACATATTTCAGCAGTGAAGGCCCTTCATTCTACTTGATCCCGCTGTTGGCCATGGTCTGAGCCCTACATACGCCCTTCCCTTTCACCTGGAAGGGCACACCTCTGTAGGTGGCCACGCAGTCCTCGTTGGTGTGAAGATCGGGCTGGATTTGCTCCCAAATCTTCTTCTTAGGATTCAGCTCCTTGTCAGGCTCTCCTGTGGTGGAGATGAAAATTTTAATATTGACTTTGTTTTTATGATGTCAGTAGCTTATATTCTTGACTCATAAAAGTTACTCTCAATTCCTCATGAATGTTAAAGATGCTTTCACTCTGATAATGCTGTTTACAGGTTACACAGGTGTTTCAGGATTTGTAATGCACTTATGTCCCAATAAACCCATCATAAGCTGAAAATATGTCAAAATATTGGGGCCAGATGGTGGCACAGTGGCAAAATGCAATGTTCTGTGACAATCTTCTCAATTCATATGTAAATAGCATTAATGATCTTCATCTTAAAACTAGGAATTGGGGCACAGAATTTACAGCTCAGAATTTAAAACACCGGGCAGTTGGATACACATTTCAAAAGATAAATCTTATAAAACCCAAATGAAACAGGTACCATTTAAGACCTCTTCTTCTAAACAAAAAACTGAGGTTAGGTTCCCAGAACACCCAGCATTTGCAGAACCAAATCTGAAAGTTTTAAACTTTACACATAAGACTAAATTAATTTTCAACTAACAAAGATATTAACTAAAAATAACTAGATACCACTAAGAGGAATCTTCAAAACTGGACTTACTTTTAACATGCTAATAAACTCAATACCTGACCACTATAAATGTGAGACTTCAATGATCACGAAATGAAAGGATGACTACCCTAAGAAATGTTAAGGCTTGTTATTAACACTAATGCCAAGTCAGGACTCTTATTGCCTTAAGCTAATTTAAACAGTAGATAATATTCCACATTTTATAAATTATAATCTTACTTTCTAACTATATGGGGAAAAACTAATTTTGAAGAATTCAAATTATCCTAACAGTAGAGTAACTATCATCACTTTGAAAAATTTTCAGACAATTAAAAACTGAAGACCGCAATTAAAACCTGTCATTTTATGAGCACTACTATAAATCAAGCTGAGAAAGTTTGATGCAGTGTTAGCCTTTGGCTTACTCAAAATGTTTCTCAATAAGATACTACTTTGTAAGGTATAAAGCGAGTGTGAAGTGAGACTTTAACCACATCCCAAGAAAAACATACCTAATGCTTTTAAGAGCTTCTTTTTTTAAATGAACTATATTTTCCAGAAGTTTTTCTTCATCCCTGTGTGTTATATCTTTCTTGCAGATACTTTCCTACCTTTTTTTGGCATGGTTATTAAAAGGTAAATGATAAAACAATACAAGTTCTTAGAGCTCAAAACTGCAGAACCTCTGAAACTGCTAAACATATGCCAATAATCAGCATTTGGAAATGGTTACACATACTGTAAGGGATCTAATCATTCAGAGGTTATTTTAAGCCAACTCATTCTAAACAAAACACAGAGGGAATAGAAACTAGTTAAAAGAGGAAAAAGTTCAGAAAAGTTTGAACAGATGTAAGAAGCTGGGACTGCCTTCTTAGCACTTAAAATTTATAAAAAGCAATAAATACAAGGGGTCTTCAAGAAGTTCATGGAAAATTAGTATTATGAAAAAATAGTGAATGGATTTCAGAATTATTGCGCCAAAATAAAATTCTATTGCAATTCCATTTTTCTACGAACTTTCTAAAGTCTCTTTGTATAAATTTCAGAGGACTAGGCATTCACACGTCTGAAATTAGAACCAGAAATTTCATTTTAGTTAGGACATTATTTTGCACAGAATTCTTACTGATCAGCAACTTCCCTTTGACACTTGCATGGCCATGATATGTCTACATAATTTAATTGTTTATGTTTGATTAACCAAGTTTTTGAATTACAGTAATAGTAACCATTACCAATTGTGGTATAAAAACTAAAAACCTGGCAGCTTGCTTTCTCCCTCTCCTTTTTTCTCTTCTGTCTTTCACTGGTCAAATTAAAAACAAACAAACAAACAACAACAAAAACAACAACAAATGGAATTAAATAAATGAATAAATCTTTTTTTAAAGTTAGACTAAAGGCAAGCACCAAAGCAGAGATGGGTTAGAAGAGTTCTGCAGCGGTCCAGGTGGTGGGGCTGAAAGCAGGGTGGCAGCCTAGGGAGAGGTGAGAACGAGTCTCCACGTGTCATGTGATCAGAACGGAAGACACAGGACTTCCTGGGGGAGATGGAGGGGGAGAGCAGCACATTGTTCGAGTTGTTACTGCCTTTGTCTCCCAGCTGGAGTGCTGCTTTCAAGTTATTTTTGCTTGGTGCTTTAGGAACCAGTTACCATATCCACACACTAAAATTTATAGTTTTACACATCCAAGATTAAAAAAAGTGTTGGGTGTGTGGGAAAGGTCTTAGCCATTATCATAAAAATATTATGTGGAATCTTCTAAATTCTGTGCAAGTTTTTGGCTATGCTGTTGAAGAAAATAGCAATGACATGCAAAAGCCTTTTCAAGGCCAAATAGCAACTCAAAAGTCTGAGTGCAAAGGCAACTTCTATGCCACACTTAATACACATAACATGAAATGCAAATCTCCAGACACTGAGCACACTGAGTGAACATCAGAATGTACCAGCAGACACCTTCAGCTGCACAATGTAAACCAGATGCTGCAAAATACAGCATGGATAAATCACAGCTCTCTCCAGGAAGAGAAGGACACAACAAAACCAATGATCTGCTGTGGATAGTGACTGTCCTTCCTTTCCCGACTTGCTGCTGTAGGAGCAGTGGCCCACGTGGAGGTACACGGGAGACAACCCCCCGCCCTGCATCCTGCCAGTGATCATACAGGGCAGCTTGGCCAAGCACACTGCGTGTCAGAGCGCAATTTACACCGCACATGAAGTACAGCGAGGCTTTCCCTTCATCCACTGCATAATCCTTCTCAACATACTTGGTGCTTCGGGCACAAGGGGAGACTGAATGTGGAAGAAATAGTAAACACACACTCAGATGATGGGCAGATTCGTGAACACAGGAAAGGGAAGGACCCACACTGAGCTTAGTGCCTCTAACACTGAGGAAGTGGGTGAACGGAAGAAACACTCCCTCCCTTTCACTTAATTCAACATGCAGATAATAAAAATGGATTAATGCTGAAATGTTTACCTGTTAATTCTATGAGATAAGGATGAGTAGTGAAAGAACTGCAACCTTTCATTAATTAAATAGTCCATATTAACTTACGGCAAGCAGCAAGTAACAAACTGAAAGGCCCCAGGCCAGGAGGCTCATTCACACCCATGGGCTGACCTCTGCCAACACGACGTAACTGCCAGCCAGCCAGCCACGGAGTGCCACTGCACCTCAGCTTCCAAATGTGCAAACTAACGGGTTAAAGCAGACGACTTGATCTAATTCTAAACACTGGGCTTTACCATTTATACAAAAAGTAAAACGAAAAAGTACTCAATATTAAGTATTCACATGAAATGGAAGAAGATAAATGTCTATGGGAAAGGTAAATCAGAACTATTTACTTTCCTTGTTTTTCTCAGTACATTCCAAATCTTGTTTTCTTCTAATTGTCATTTTATTCTGATTTAGTGGATGAGCTTTCTAAACAGAATTTCAGTTAAGTTTATATGTAATGGCTTAGCCCAAAGCGGAAGGCTTTGAAAGTAGAGTGTGGACCATACACTGTTCGGAATCTAACACGATTTTCGGAATCTAACAGGATTTTCTAATACTCATTGAGACAAGGATTTCCCCAAAACCTAACTTACCCACAACAGTTCGGAGCGCAGACCATTCCAGCTTATCTACCAAGGTTTCAGACATGCACACACATTCATAGTTATGGACACTTGCTAAAATAAAAATTTTATCTACAACAAAACCTCCCTCTGGTGTTTGATGAAATGCATTCGTGGGACGGAGGAGGATGACAAGGTTGTCCTCAATGTGTCATCTTGAGCCAATCTCAAAAAACTCAGCAGGATTTAATAATGGCCATTTAATGTAGCCTTGTGATTCACACACAGAACTGATTTTAACCCTTAAACATTACACTTTGAGAAGTAATTTCCACACTGTTTAAACAGTTACTCTTACTTACCAGGGAAGGCATCGAAAGTAATTTTGTCTCCTGGAACAGAGCCCTCAGGAGGAGCCAAGATTTCAACTTTCTCGGGGGAACTCGCACACATGACCATTGCCTGAGACACTACTCCCCTCATCTTTGCCGGTTTCAGGTTACAAAGTAAAACCACCATCCGATTCTGCATCTGCATGAGACACGCAGTGGTGAGCAAGCGCGCAGAGACTCAGAACAAGCACATGTGGAACACATGCAGGGATACCCGACATGCTACATATCACATGTTCTGTGTTTCAGGATATATTGCTGCTTCTGTGTCCAAAACCTTTCCTTGTTATTATGAAGCTGTGCAAAAACATGAAAAGGAAATCTTACAAACTGACGATGCATCATGGCTGAAAAAGTCGATGTCTTTCAGTAAAATACTGAATAAAGAAAGAAAGAATTGGACAAAACAGACTTGGTTTTGGACTTCAGCTGCCACTGACTAGCAATGGGAATGTGTAAAGTTGATCTTCCTGTTCTCTCAAAAAGAACGAAAGGCATAATGCTGAACTTAAAGTCGCCATATGAATGACACCGTAGCACTCATGTAAGACGCTTAGCTCAACACCAGTGCTACAATAAATGCACACGGCCCACGTCGTGTCCATTTCCCACATTGAGCATTTCTAATATTCTTTTATAAATAATTACTTTTTTATTACTATTTTTATTAATTTTTGAAAACTTCCCACAGAGCACAAGTGCTCACCATAGAAAGAGAGAGAGAGAATAAGCAAGAAGGCTGTTAGGTTCCAGACTTGAACCTCAGTTTGCTGTGTAGGAGTCTAACGCCTTAACCCCCATGCCACCTGCTGGCCCCCATTTCTAATATTCTAGAGATATCTCAAGTGACTTTAAAAAGTTCACAGAGGGACTAGCAGGTGACACGGTGGTGAAGGATGCTGGACTCCCACGTGGCCAACCAGGGGTCGAGTCCCGGACTCAGTGGCTTTCTTTTTCACAAAGCTCTCTCTTGCTCTGTCCCTCTCTGGTCAATTTAAAATAATAAATAAATAAAGTTAAATAAAATAATTTTTAAAAGTTCACAGAAAAGTGGAATTAAAGCACAAGTTCATTTTGATGCAAAAAATACTGAAATCATGCATAGTTTCTTCACAATACTCACCTTTCATGAGTTTTTTAAAGTTCATAAAAAATGTTCATATGAATAATACAAGTCCACTCATATTTCCCAATTTAAAAATACTGACCATTTAGAATTCAAGCATTGCGCATACTGCAATTAAAATGTACGGCTATTTCTCCTCCACTCCCGCCCCCACCCCACAGGGTATGTGCGCTCGCCAGCGAGAGCCAGAGAGCGCGCAAAGTCACCCTCAGGGGGCTGGCCACACACCATCCCCCCTCCACTTTCCTCCTGCGACTTTGGGTACGCACGCATATGTGCCTGGCGTGATTTTCAAGCCTCCAGGTCTGGGTCTTAAACCATGGCTGGCCACATGGGAATCTAGCACCTTAAGCATCACACCATCTGCTGGCCCCATGGTGCAGGGCTATTTCTGTCATTTGTTATAGAAGTGAACAGAAATTTCTTCAATCTTCAAAAGTTAACATACCTTAATTTTTTTCCCAACTAGCAAAAATAAGAAATACATGTCTTCAAATCTTTTTTACAGGTTTAAAATGAAAAAATTAAGGAAACTATTACTGCAAGAGGGAAAAAGATGCATTCTGGGTAAAAGATAGTTTTATTTCAAAATAAAAAAAGTAACATATACATTTATTTTCAAATTCATAGATCCTTTAAAAAAAGAGCCCAAGACTTAAATTCAAAGAGGATTTTTTTAAGTTACTGGAACCAGCAGTTAGCATAATGGCTATGTCACTGAACTCGCATGTAGTCCACTGCGGTTTGAGTCCCAGACCCGGTGGCTTAAACTCACGCCGGGCGCGTGTGTGTGCATGCCCAAGATCCCGAGAGGAGAATGGAGGAGAAGGGATTGTGGCGTGACCATACACCTGGGGGGTGATTTCTCGCTTTCTGTCTCTCTGTCTTTCTGGCAAATGCATGCACCCTATAACAAAAACCTCTTTAAAAAAAAAAAAGTTGCAGCAAAAGTGTGTAACAACAGCAACAGGGCTAGTTAGATGCAGTCCTTTAAGGATCTGACGACAGCTGTAGTCCCTTTCTTTAGAAAAAATATGCAGTCTGCAAAATGTGGTGTACAATTGAAGGGGTTAGGTGTCCCCGCTTTATAGAATGCTTTCTAGTTCTGTCTTGACGGTCAGATACAGAGTTTATACGAACAGCTGTGCTTACGGTTGTGAATGACAGCCTCTGTAAAAGGAGAAATTGTCTATGACTTACAAAAACAGAAATGATGCAGCTGACAGGAGTTTTTTCCAACTGAGCTGGCTCAAGATCAGTTGGTGCTCTGCTCCAACCCAGGTTGAGGAGGAGCCTGAGAGTTGGAGGGAAATCTAGCAGCAGTGACGGAACACTGCTCTGTGAAGGGTCACCTGGAGTGCAGACTGCCTGTTAAATGGTTATCATGCACGGTGATCCTTCATAAAATACACCACCACTCCTCTTCACACGTCCTAAATACCCAGCTGTAGCTCCACTACTGAAATAATTCACTTTAAACAGGGGGTAAGACGAACTGCGACTATTTGTTTCTAAATGCTGCAACATGGAAGCACACTCCTTGGTGCTAAACCCACCAGAAGAGAGAAAAAAACTGGGATTTCAAATTTGAAACACCTACTCAATGTCAATTTCTTTCATATGACTCTGAAAACCCAAACATTAAAGATCTAAAAGAAACCCACTTGTTACACAGAGGTGGAAGAAATTATGTTCATGATGACAGGATGATATTGGTCCATTACCTAGACCGGTTTTTGGTAATGGTGACATCAGGAGACTGAAACAATAGACTGGACCAGGGATCAAACCTCAACTTATCTACCTGGAGTGTAAAACCAGGTGAGCAAAGCCCTCAGGACAGGAAAGCAAATGCACTCAGAGTCTGTTTTTTCCCTGGCCTTCCACAGAACAGCACTAGTGAAGAGGACGAATGCCAGCCCCACCGCCCTCCCTCAGCCCTGCCATCCACCCCTACGTGGCAGGGCTCACGCTGTGCTGTGGAACACAGAGCACCGTCCACGAAGAATGCCCGCTGCTACGCGCTAGCCAGCTTCTGCTTTGAGAAAACAGCAGGAGGTTT